TCTTGCGCCTCCTGGCCACACCCCTATCTCCTGTCCTGGTGGTCACTGTAATCAGGCGCGCCCTGGCCACACCCCTATCTCCTGTTCTGGTTTTCACTGTAATCTGGCGCGTCCTGGCCACACCCCTATCTCCTGTCCTGGTTGTCACTGTAATCTGGCGCGTCCTGGCCACATCCTTATCTCCTGTCCTGGTTGTCACTGTAATCTGGCGCGTCCTGGCCACATCCTTATCTCCTGTTCTGGTTGTCACTGTAATCTGGCGCGTCCTGGCCACACCCCTATCTCCTGTCCTGGTTGTCACTGTGATCTGGCGCGTCCTGGCCACACCCCTATCTCCTGTTCTGGTTGACACTATGTTCTGGAGGGCCCTGGCCACACCCCTATCTCCTGTTCTGGTTGTCACTGTGTTCTGGCGGGCCCTGGCCACACCCCTATCTCCTGTTCTGGCTGTCACTGTGATCTGGAGCGCCCTGGCCACACCCCTATCTCCTGTTCTGGCTGTCACTGTGATCTGGCGCGCCCTGGCCACACCCCTATCTCCTGTTCTGGTTGTCACTGTGATCTTGCGCGCCATGGCCACACCCCTATCTCCTCTTCTGGCTGTCACTGTGATCTGGCGCGCCCTGGCCACACCCCTATCTCCTGTTCTGGCTGTCACTGTGATCTGGCGCGCCCTGGCCACCTCCCTATCTCCTGTTCTGGTTTTCACTGTGATATGGCGCGCCCTTGCCACACCCCTATCTCCTGTCCTGGTTGTCACTGTAATCTGGCGCGTCCTGGCCACATCCTTATCTCCTGTTCTGGTTGTCACTGTGATCTTGCGCGCCCTGGCCACATCCCTATCTCCTGTTCTGGTTGTCACTGTGATATGGCGCGCCCTGGCCACACCCCTATCTCCTGTTCTGGTTGTCACTGTGATATGGCGCGTCCTGGCCACACCCCTATCTCCTGTCCTGGTTGTCACTGTGATATGGCGCGTCCTGGCCACACCCCTATCTCCTGTCCTGGTTGTCACTGTGATCTTGCGCGTCCTGGCCACATCCTTATCTCCTGTTCTGGTTGTCACTGTGATCTGGCGCGTCCTGGCCACATCCTTATCTCCTGTTCTGGTTGTCACTGTGATATGGCGCGCCCTTGCCACACCCCTATCTCCTGTCCTGGTTGTCACTGTAATCTGGCGCGTCCTGGCCACACCCCTATCTCCTGTCCTGGTTGTCACTGTGATCTGGCGCGCCCTGGCCACATCCCTATCTCCTGTTCTGGTTGTCACTGTGATCTTGCGCGCCCTGGCCACATCCCTATCTCCTGTTCTGGTTGTCACTGTGATCTTGCGCGCCCTGGCCACATCCTTATCTCCTGTTCTGGTTGTCACTGTAATCTGGCGCGTCCTGGCCACACCCCTATCTCCTGTCCTGGTTGTCACTGTGATCTTGCGCGTCCTGGCCACATCCTTATCTCCTGTCCTGGTTGTCACTGTAATCTGGCGCGCCATGGCCACACCCCTATCTCCTGTTCTGGTTGTCACCGTAATCTGGCGCGTCCTGGCCACACCCCTATCTCCTGTTCTGGTTGTCACTGTGATCTTGCGCGCCCTGGCCACATCCCTATCTCCTGTTCTGGTTGTCACTGTGATATAGCGCGTCCTGGCCACACCCCTATCTCCTGTTCTGGTTGTCACTGTGATATGGCGCGTCCTGGCCACACCCCTATCTCCTGTTCTGGTTGTCACTGTGATATGGCGCGTCCTGGCCACACCCCTATCTCCTGTTCTGGTTGTCACTGTGATCTGGCGCGCCCTGGCCACACCCCTATCTCCTGTTCTGGTTGTCACTGTGATCTGGCGCGTCCTGGCCACACCCCTATCTCCTGTTCTGGTTGTCACTGTGATCTGGCGCGCCCTGGCCACACCCCTATCTCCTGTTCTTGTTGTCACTGTGATCTGGCGCGCCCTTGCCACACCCCTATCTCCTGTCCTGGTGGTCACTGTAATCAGGCGCGCCCTGGCCACACCCCTATCTCCTGTTCTGGTTGTCACTGTGATCTGGCGCGTCCTGGCCACACCCCTATCTCCTGTTCTGGTTGTCACTGTGATCTGGCGCGTCCTGGCCACACCCCTATCTCCTGTTCTTGTTGTCACTGTGATCTGGCGCGCCCTGGCCACACCCCTATCTCCTGTTCTTGTTGTCACTGTGATATGGCGCGTCCTGGCCACACCCCTATCTCCTGCTCTGTTTGTGTCTTGACGTAATCTTGGTCCGTTATCCTGATTAACCCCTTCTGTGTTAGACTGTGTTATATCTGTCACACTGGAAGTGGCTGGAGTATTACACTCACTGACAGTAGCTAGAAGTCTGTCTGTCACAGTTAGCCTTTCTTATAGTACCCAAATTTGTTGGTCTCACTGAGTTCACGTAGTTTGTCGCGTTGATGTTTGGTCAAACCATTGTATATATCAACTCGTTCGTCTTTGAGTTTTCCACATAGACCATGCACTATTCATGATAATCAATCGTGTTCTCTAGCACATCAAGTTATCTGTTAGCATGGAGACGCGGTCATTGCAGGTGGCGTGTGGCACAGAAGAATCCTCTAAATTTTTCAGTCTTTCTGCAAAATCATCTATATCAACACGCATGATATCTTTATCATCAGCAATGTTGGATTGAATGGTCACTAGATTTTCATTCAGCTTGGTCACACTTGATTTAAGATCTTTAATCTCAATAGTAATGTCATTTCTCATGGATTTTATTTCTGCTGGCAGTTCTTGATGAAGCTTTTATGTATCAGCATCAGTGGGTCCTGGATTCAGCTCAACATCACCAGACAATATGATACGGAGACAGCGTGAAAACACAAAAAGTCATTGTGTACCTTTTCGAAGTAGGCGATTCGAATCCATCATGTATGAGAAATCCTCCCTTAATATCCATGAAATATCCAATCCTGGTATAGTTGGGTGAGCGTACAACCACCCATGGCCACACTGACTAGAATCAGCATCACACACGCAGTCCTATAGCTTGTCTCCATACCCGGTGTCCACTGTCCGTACTCTATGTACATGTCATGGCCACATACAAGACGGGAACTCCGAGGGTGACGAAGTTGATAGGTCCCAATTCTAAGTCTCCAGAGGTCGACCGAGAAACCCATTTCACCTGTAGTTGTTGATCATGCTATTGGGACGTTAGATCACCTATAAATGTGGCCTCAGAGGATATCGGGGAGAGTAAGTAAAGCAAAACGCAGAGCTGGGTGGTGAACATTACAGCTCTCTGAAGGGAGGTCACTCTATTTATCTAAGACAATCTATGACAAGCTTCCGTTTCCAAAATTATGTCCCTCATGTTGGAGGTGAAATGGAGTTTAACGTCGCGTCCAAGATAATGGTACTTATATAGCAACGTGCATGTACGTGTGTGTGTTTGTGTGGCTGCTTGTGCTAGTCCGGACTGATGCCGATTTATAGTGCTAGCTCACTGAGATACCATGCCGCAGTTTAACATGAATGCCCCACTCAGACACAGTATACTGACTCCGAGCCGACCAGTCCTTGTTTTAGTCCCTTAATGCCGAGCGCCAGACAGGGTAACAACAAGTACCAATTTGTAACGTCTTTTGGTATGACGCGGACGGGGATCGAACCCCGGACCTTCCGCTCTCCGTGCGGACGTTAGAAATAACGGCGATTTCAGTTTTGTAAAATAATGTACGTAATATGAGTATGATCATATATAATGAAGTTGTGAATGTTATCGAAGTAATACACATATTACTTACATACATTTCGATCAACAAAACAGTGTATTGTTTTTCTATTGTTTAAAGAACTGACTGGAAGAGGTGTTGAAAAAGATACTACAAGCCGTTTGGCTCCAAATGAGAACACTGAATTGCAAAAATAATTTCAAAATCGTGAATAATCTATTAAATGTCAATACGGTACACGGCAATACAAGCATAAAGAGCAGGCATCTATTGTTACACATGTTCCAAAGGAGACAAGCACATGATACTGGGGACCTATTCTAACCCGGGTACAACGGGGGACAAGCGTAAAGAGCAGGGATCTATTGTTACACATGTTCCCAAGGAGACAAGCACATGATACTGGGGACCTATTCTAACCCGGGTACAACGGGCGACAAGCGTAAAGAGCAGGGATCTATTGTAACACATGTTCCAAAGGAGACAAGCACATGATACTGGGGACCTATTCTAACCCGGGTACAACGGGGGACAAGCGTAAAGAGCAGGGATCTATTGTTACACATGTTCCCAAGGAGACAAAGACAAGCGCAGAATACAGGGGACCTATTCTAACCCGGGTTGCCAGGAGGGGATGGGGGTGGGGGTGGGGGGGGGGGGGGGGGGGGGGGGGGGGGCCAAGCATAAGAAGCAGAGATCAATTGTAACACATGTTCCAAAGGAGACAAACACAGAATACTGGGGACCTATTCTAACCCGGGTACCACGGGGGACAAGCGTAAAGAGCAGGGATCTATTGTTACACATGTTCCCAAGGAGACAAAGACAAGCGCAGAATACAGGGGACCTATTCTAACCCGGGTACCACGGGGGACAAGCGTAAAGAGCAGGCATCTATTGTTACACATGTTCCAAAGGAGACAAGCGCAGAATACTGGGGACCTATTCTAACCCGGGTTGCCAGGAGGGGATGGGGGTGGGGGTGGGGGGGGGGGGGGGGGGGGGGGGGGACAAGCATAAGAAGCAGAGATCAATTGTAACACATGTTCCAAAGGAGACAAACACAGAATACTGGGGACCTATTCTAACCCGGGTACCACGGGGGACAAGCGTAAAGAGCAGGCATCTATTGTTACACATGTTCCCAAGGAGACAAGCACATGATACTGGGGACCTATTCTAACCCGGGTACAACGGGGGACAAGCGTAAAGAGCAGGGATCTATTGTTACACATGTTCCCAAGGAGACAAAGACAAGCGCAGAATACTGGGGACCTATTCTAACCAGGGTCGCCACGGGGGACACGCATAGTGTTGTTTTAACCCTGATGTCCTGGAATGACATAGAGAGTGTGGGATGGGTTAGGGTGGGGAAGGAGGGATTTGGGGTTGGATGCGATGGGCTATTGCGTTTTGTGTTTCAATGGGGAACATGCATATACTAGTTGTTATGTTAGAGTTATTCTAACCCGAAATCTGCACGGGGGAACTACATGTATCTCCGCCGAAAGCTTCATCCTTTAAGAAATAGCAGTGGAAACGGTCAAAGATAATTTCGGTTCCAGCTGTATACAAAGTGTCGAACTGGTATTCAGGTAGTATTGTTCAAAATAGCAAAAGCAATAATAGGTGCGATTCTACTCATGGTTAGAATGTCTAAACGACGCGATGTAGTGTCTCATCCTTATACCGCTACGTTTGGGTAGGCGTTCACATGTCACCGTGAATGCCCGAGTTCAATTACACTCGTGAGTAGAATGTCTGTAGGCCATTTGAGGTGTCCCTTGTCGTGATACAGTTGGCATATTGCTGAAGGTTGCATCAAACATCATGTACCCGCTCTGCTGTTCACTGGACACTGCTTAAACCGTGGAGCCTACCTTTCTGTATCGCATTACGTCTACACGATGATCTGATATACATCCCATGTTGCATTAGTCATGGGGTCAAGGGTCACGGCCAACAGCTCGCAACTGACGACGCCCATTGAGGGAGACCTTGAGTTGAAGGCGTTGCAAGAAGCCTTTCTGAAACACATGTTGGCACAGTCGAGCTTCCCGATGTTTTCATAGCTGGCGATGAAGTTGTCGGGCTCCCTGGCTCCGGTAGCGCCAAGACCAAACACGAGAGATGACTCTGAATCATATTAAGACGTACATAAATGGAGGCATGCGTTATTTGTGTTTGTGTTTTTGACAGACAAGCGATTGTGAATACCCTTGTGAAACTGGCATTGATACATGTTATTGTTACTATTTGATTGTGGTTTAGATACACATGCTTATAATATTGTCGGAATCGTACAATTGACTCTGCTTTTTGCAGAGATCTCTTACGATTTGAAATCAAAATTTGTTGCTTTAATAATGTGAAGTTTCAACCCGTGTGCCTTCGCTTGGAAGAGACAATACTATGATACAGATTGATAACTGCGTCTGTTTTCGGGATGACAACCAGAGAACGTTTGAACGGGGCTCTGAAAATCAGCTTATTTCAAGTATTGATAATTTGACATGTATTCGATGGCCAGTTCGCCTTTACCAGGATTCATTTAACAGGAAGATTGTGTCAATTCAGGATTGATTTGCATTTAGATTTGATTTAAGAAATGCTAGATACATTGAACAGCAATGCTATCGCAAGCACAAGTGAAGTCACCTAGGCATTTGCCTGAATTCTCTTACCTCCGCATGTGTTGTGCACTGGGGCTCCCTTCACCACCACTTCACACAGGGTCAAAGGGTTAACACCAGAGTTGTACTTGACTATTCTGACGTAACGTCCAATGGTGTTGACGGCGCAGGTCAAGTCTACTGTCAGACCTCTGCCCACCGTGCCTTCATGCAAATAGCAGACTTGTAGGCCGGTGTTGTTGCTGGTCATCGGGTCAGAAGTATGGACCTCCACAGTGAAGTTGGTTAATCTTTCATCTGGATGGAAGGTAAAAGGTAATTTTAAGGGACCGGACCGAGCATTATAAAAAAACCCCAACAACATTGTCCCCGAAAATTTTTTAAAAAGTAATTACAGGTAAATAATACAGGTTGATAGCTATAAATAAAAACATAGTATCTGGTTTTGTAGCTGTACTAATCTCGATACAAAATCCCATCCCATCCACCCTCCCAACCCACCACAACCACCACAAAAATGAAAAAAATGAAATGGTCGGTCCCCATTCTTACAAAAATCAAATACACAATTCTCATCCAAAAGTCCAAGGAACAAATGACATCCTTTCAAATAAACATCCTATGTGTGAATTGCAGTGATTTACACAGGATCATATTGTAGTGTTTCGGATTACATTGGATTGGATTGAAGTGTATGTCGTCTGTGATGAAATGTGGAAACACGTTGGAAAGCCAGTATTGTTGCTTGGAAAATGATACATCGGATTGAAATAGGCTGGGATATTTTGGGAAAAGATTTGTTTGGGTGTTCATTTTCCAGTAATTGCTACTATATTGTATTCACAAATTTTGATTTAACTAAAAGAAATCTAAGTGATTTTTTTATTAGTATGATGTTATTTGATTCTCACATAAATAGATTTTTATATAAGAAATAAGCAACGAGTGGGAATTGTTTATCCTACAATGAAACGCTGCAGGGAGAATGAACCATGAAGAGCGCGGCAACCAGTGGTTTATTCTCCCTGCAGTGTTTTATTGTACGCTAAACAGCAACGACAAGTAGTTTATTTGAGGATATTGATAAAATATACAAGCTTTAACAATATTTACCCAAGTTTTAAAGATGACTACCTAAACAGATTGCGACCTCGGAATCGGACGGGTCCATTTTACGAACTGGTGGGTTAAGTTTGGTATTTTCCGCATATTCTCAAAATCCTGCCGTCGGTTATCTGTACCTTTTCTCCTATTACCGATTGTCATATCTCTTCCACTTTTGGGTGCAGTCGTTCGGCCACTGCGTTTATCTGCGTAGCCCAGCTGCATTTATGGAACAACTCCCTAGACACTCCCCTCTCAACATTAACGTCGTCCAATATATGACGTCATCAAGTTGCTCATCAAGAAATGACGTCATATAAAACAATGTTTTATCGTAACATAAACCACGCTTCACTCTTCATTGTCATTTTCGATTTATCGTGTAGCCATGTTATGTTAACAAATGAGAAATCTTTATGATCAACTGAATTATCATCAGCATCATAATTATCACCATCATCATCATGTATAGTAGTAACTGTAACATGTTTAAACAAGAATAAATTTTGACTTCCTTTGCATGCAAACAATTGTTACAGGATTTTTAGTGGGATTGTAATAAATAGTATTATGTAAGACTAATGAGATTTCACTGTATCGAGGTAATAGGGTTCGAGTTAACGAGGCTTCACTGTATTACTTTCTTCAGTTCGTATTCCATCCGCACGAAAAGTTCAATGTACTTACGGCAACAGTCCCCCCTGTTGGTGACGGAGACAGTTAGAACAACGACGATCTTCTGAAGATCTACCTGCCACCAGTCTAGCGACGGCTCCGCAGCGTTATCCCCATGTGCACAACTGTCGGCTGTTACGCTACTGTTGTTGTTGCCGTCAACAGCCCTATCAGATATCCTTCCTTCATATACTGAGCTTTGTTTTGTGGGCTTGCTCAGCGCAAGGTTCGGTAGATCCAAACCTGGATCGAGAGAACGCGGTTGTCAAAATTAACATTAATTAGTTTTAAAAAACATATTTAACAAACACCCAGAAACCACCCCTGTGCTTGTGTTAAAAGATGTCTTTCGTTCACCTGTCTGTTACACAAGGCATGATTGTATGAAAACAAGTAACCCCAGTTAAGTTCATAGTGTTTAATGGAACAGATAGTTGAGCCCTTATGCTGCTGTGTCAATGACAACTATAGACTGGAAAGTGCAAGCTTGCAATAGTTACCCTATTAATATGACGTTTTTTGTCAGTGGACATGTACAAACTAAATAGGTATACAGTCAAGATGTAAATAAGTATTCAAAGTACACAGTCAAGCTAAAGGTTACAGAAGCTTCACTTTCTTGACTTGTATCAAATGTTACCTTGCAGAAGATGACATTTTAGTAATTCATAATTCCTAAAATTGGGTAACGCTTTACAATTTGGGTTACATCAACGTTTAGCGCTTGATCTGATATATTCAAATTTCAAAATAGAAATACGATGCAAGTCATGGCGTTGTCCATATGGGTAAGTTTGTAAATAAGCCGGATCTGCTTTATTCGAGAATTGATTTGTTCATTCGGAAGAAGGTCAAATAACAGTTTTCATGAGAATCTATTATTAGATACTTTTACTACCTATTTTAACACAACTAGGCACTGACGAAGAGGCTACCACATGCCCACAACGATTTCACATTCAAATGAAATTCAATGAAATGACAAAAGTGACAAAATCCCATTTCACAACCATAAGAGTCTTTCGTACACTTCCCACTATGTCACAAGCACGTGTTTATGAGTCTCCGACAGTTGGGGATCATACCCGGTGTTAGGTGAACGACTCCTGACCTACGGGCTTTGGAAACCGTGAATGCTATAGCCCTGATCAAACATAATTTGAACACGAGTCGTATGGCGCTCCTTGAAAACAACGGAAGTAATAAAGTAGTCGTTATATCCTGATATCGTCTTTCCCTAGAATGACGCAATATGAACGGATACACGTACTGGGTGTTTGCCTCAGGTTCAAGGTGAGGTGAAATTTGGTTTAGCGTCGCGTCAAAGATTATTGCACTTATATAGCGACGTGCATGTACGTGTGTGTGTTTGTGTGGCTGCTTGTACTGGTCCGGACTGATGCCGATTTATGGTGCTAGCTCACTGAGATACCATGCCGCAGTTTAACATGAATGCCCCACTCAGACACAGGATACTGACTCCGAGCGACCAGTCCTTGTTTTAGCCCCTTAATGTCGAGCGGCAGACAGGGTAACAACAAGTACCATCTTTTAATGTCTTTTAGTATGACGCGGCCGGGGATCGAACCACTAGACCACGGAGGCGATCGCCACAGGAACAAACACACTAAAAGTGTGAACTATGAAAGAGAAACAAACCTGTAGCACAGAGCAGAGTAGATACCAGTATGCACACCAGTGCATTAGCCATCGTCCTCCTGTTAAATGAACTATTGTTATGTGTTGCAATACTGTCATTCAAATCTTGAAGGTATACGTCACAGGGTATCCATGGTGACTCTATTGATAACTTTATGTTCCCTTATGAAAATGCACTGGCGCATGGCAACACGCATTAAATGTATAACGTATTATTATTAACTTGAAGGTTACTGTAAAGGCACTGCAATAAAAGCACATATCATGCCAAATCAATATGACGCATTACATTGAAAGATCTTTGTAATTGTCTTCCGAGAAGCCCGGAACCTAACATTACTTTTTTTCATTTGTTTCTGATAGGACATGTTTTGTATATAACAGTATCAGCGAGCATGTATTGTCAGGTAACTTTTGCCGATATTGCTCTTCTCAACTTTATTCATGCACCTGCTGCCTCCAAGGTAAAGTAGCATTTATAAGTAATGCAAATGTAAAAAGAAATCTTTGATCCAAGACATTACAAAACTGCCTCCACTGTTTGATATTTGTTAAAGTTATTTTTTATTTACTTTTAAGCAGCAAATCCCCGCATGTGTACACAGCCATCTCAATCTAGTTTCAACAAAATCAGTAAAAACGCTGCCGTTCCACTGTATTTTCCGGTTTAGCGATCACTTGATTTTTTCCCGCCGCCGCATGGCAGGAGTAGTGCTGCGTGGCATGCAGTCAGCCAACAACCAATGTCTTTGTTATGCAAGTTGTGTGAGTGGCGGTGCTACCGGTAGGGCACGACATGCTTACCCATTTTACAAACCTTCACATCATTTTCACCCTCATTTGGCTTGTTACGCCCGATGGAATCGTCGGATAATCGAGACTGGGTATTCACTGGGGTTGACTTCATATATTTTTGTTATCATCGAATACCAATTATAGTATTCTACAATTGTATTCCCATGTTGGAACCTAACAGCAATATTTGTTGTTGTAGCAGGGTGGCCATCACCAATAGTCAAGACTATATACTTAATACCATGAAGGAGGGATTCTTTCAAAAAGCATTTTTATTGGTTTGTCATCTTTATCAAAAGATGGGGAGTCTTCTTGCAGATTACGGGCAAAGGTGCAAGTGGTGATCAATGGAGCAGCTCGGATACATCTTGGTAGGAAGTAAGACCGGAAACAGGAACTGTGGCATCATGGGAGACATATACTTTAATCCGAGAGAAGAGGTTTTCATGGCGGCCACATGGTGGAGGAAATGCGTCTCAGGACCCTAACTTAATATTCAGGAAAACAATATGATGTTTGAATCAATCTGTGATTGAGGGCAGGGCAGGGCAGGGCAGGGCAGGGCAGGGCAGGGCAGGGCAGGGCAGTAAATGTGCAACAAGACAGGACAAGCCAAGAGTTGGTTGGTTTGTTGTTTAACGCTGCTCTAAGCAATATCCAAGCTATATGACGGCGGGCTGTAAATAATGGAGTCTGGACCAGACAATCCAGTGATTAATATCATGAGCATCGATCCACGCAATAGGGATTGATGACATGCATCAACCAAGTCAGCGAGCCGGACTACCTGATCCCGTTAGTTGCCTCTTACAAGCATAGTCGCCTTTTACAGCAAGCATGGGTTGCTGAAGACCTATTCTACCCATTATCTTTACGGGTATAACAAGACAAGACCAGCCAAGATAATATTTTATTAAGAAGTATAGTCTCATGGTACAATTAACGGTTCATGCAATCAAAAGCAACAATACCCTTTCTATAATCAAAAGCAATGTCTGTTAGTAACAGACACTATTGTACAATTCTAACTATGTCATGAGCATGTGATTATGAATCCCTATCATATAGGAATGCTACCAGGTGTTGGCGAAGAGGTGAGCATATCCTGCCCCAACGGTCGCATCCGTCACAGACACATGCATAGGCAAGTCAATTATTCACATGAAGAGAGCAATAATAGAGAAGTGCACCAGACATCATTTTGGTAATCAGTGCGTCAAATTTGAAAATATCCTCCACATGTCTAACTTAAAACGTTTTGAAAGCTTTGTTAATGCTTTGAATGTTTTAACCCTGATCAAACAGCCTTTGAGCAGGAATCGTGTGAGGCTCTTTGAAATCTTCGTACAAAGAGCATGGTCAATTTTGGAAATAAACCTACTGTATTTTGAAATGTGATGTCGTCCCACTACAGATTCGATACCTGTTAGTATAATTTGGAACCGAGCGCATGACGACAAGAGCGCTTTGAAAACGCATAATTACACATCATTCGTCAACACTCGCCCCTTTCCGAATGATTTCAAGTTCTTCGTCAAAGAATCCCTCAGAAATAATTTTTGATTTTCCATATGTCTTGCATCTAGAAATATAGCCAAGACACAGTAAAATATGTTCAATCATACTGTATAATTCCGCATGTCCAGATATGCTTTCAATTGCATCTAAAATATATATAATATATGGAGATATATATGTGAACCATAACGCAGTGAGTTGACAATTGTTTTAGGTATGCCCCTTTGTGCTAAGACGGAACCCAGTCGCAAAAATGGCCATGAGAGGGGCACGAGTCGCTATTCGGTTTGTCCCGGAATAACACGAGTTGGTCACGAATGAATTACACATGGGTTAAAAGATCCGCTGAAAAGGGGTCACGGGTTATAACTGTAACATATATTACGTAAGTTCAAGATTAAAACACTCATATTCTTGACTAGTTCAAAATACAGATTCAAAACACATAGTTTTTAAAAAAGAAGTTCAAATCAAATAGCCCTCCAAAGATATATGTTTTAATTTCATCGCAGCCTGTTGCATATTTGCCCTGTGTGGACTCAACCAAGTCTTTTCTTGGAAATCGACGCGACACGTCACTTCTTTAAAATCAACATGAGATCTTCCATTCTAGGGGTGACAGATTTTAGAAATGGTGAAATAAACGCTGAACGAATTCTTTCTTCAACAAACTTTATTTAATTACAAGATTTTATGTATTTTGAAGATGTAATTATGGGACAGTTGGTTTGCAGTGTCGGCCCTACAGTAATACATATCACGAATGACTATATCTCCACCCCGAACTTTGGCTTGGCTGATCTTAGCTTAATGCCATGGCAGTTCTTCAGTTGTTCACGGTGACAGTGAAGTTCGCGGTTTACAAATTGCATAAAGCCAGATCACAATCCCGATCTGTAGTTACGTTCAACATTACCCCCATGACGTACTGGTGGGAACTAGCACAACCATTGTCAACGGAAACATCCTGAAGTATGGCAATCACCGCCGTTTTTAGCAGCAGATGACGACAGACTGCTTATTTTTGTGACCGATTATCATGTGGCCCTGACACAGTGGTTAGTGTGTGTTTTATTTAATTGTGTGTTCGGAAAGAGATTTCATCATGTTTGATAACTGTTGTTCTGAGAATATTTATTCGTTTTTTTTCTGATGATTGTAAGCGGCAACTGAATTGAAGAGTTCGTAAATGAGGGGCTCATAGAACATCAAGTGTTTTGGTGGCCAATGGCCCACAGCAGCTCGCAGAATAGAGCAGCCCCAACAGTGTTTGGAGTCTAAACTCCGTATCAGCATTTGACATCTCCCTAACCATCCCGGTTTGGATAGTTCTGCTGTGAGGGGTTTGTTTACAGGCTTCTCTTCAGTTATTTACACTGGGTTCGACTACACAGTTTGAGACGTTTCTAGAATGCTGGCTGTACCTATAGAAGTGCGATTTGAGTCCTTCATACATTGTGTATGTACGTGTCGTGTGCGTACGTTTATACTATAAGAAAACATCGATTTTTGTTCTCCTTCCAACACTGTTTCCTGGGTTGAAAAATGGAGCACGTGACATTCGACTGTGACAAATTCTGAGCATGCGTGAGTGCACTGATTTATGTTATAGGGACTGTTATGTATTGATGCTGCCACATTTCTGACCCATTAATTGTATTACCTTTTATAATTGTAAACCTAATCATGTGTTTTCCAATAACAGTATTTGTTGCTGGGTCTTTGATGATGTGAGGGCACGGGTGGCCCAGTCGTTTATGGCGCCGCGATTCGCTGTGCAGAGTTTCGTCCCTTGGGCACGCCAGAGACCTATGATTGTGGGTTCGAATCCCGGTTCGCCCCGATTATGTTTCTAGGTTTGTCAGCACCATATCCGTGCTCGTAGGTTTCACCGAAGTGGTAAACGTCTGAGACCTGCATCACTTCGGGCTTTCCTCCCACATTAAGCTGACACGCCGTACTATAACTGGAATACTGTTAAAAGCGGCGTTAAACCCAACTCACTCACTCACTCACTTTGATGATGTCTGTTGGTATTAATTGATCTTACAATTTAGTTCTGTATATATCGATTTCTGGGTCAACATTCGCTTTTCAATTTGGGAATCAACACTTAACAATATCTCAAGTCATCACGTTTTAAATTAGTTACAAATTCCCCATGGATCAAGGAACGAAGACTTTTCTTTATATGTCGTGTGGGAGAATGGTGTAAAAAGTTAAAGGAATCAAATGTTTGACATCAGTGAACTCTTATTGCAAACATTAAAGCTTATCCTTTGTGTTTGAGAATCCACTTTGCATTAATTCCACTTGTCGCATCTACTTCCTTTATAGATGATTAAATTACAAACATATATTTATGGATTATTATTGCTCTGCGAGATTGGTGGGACATTTACTGGACACATAAAAATTTCTCTCTTTGTACTGATTCTTTGCAGGTTTGGGATCTAGTACAAAAGAGGAATACACATGTGTTCAGATGTTGAAGCTGAAGTTGATATTACTGTTGCATGATTTTTGTACAAGTCAAAATAGGGAATTGCATCCGACATATTTTTTCGTCACTGATGCGTTAAATTTGGAAATGTTCTCTACATGTCTTCCACAAGTTTATCATCAAACCCGTTGTTTCACATGTGTTGTTTATTGATAAAAGTCATTCAGAATCCTGGTATTTAATCGTGTTGAACACAAAGATGCAATAGCAGTATAAAGGGAGAAAGATAGAGTGCGCGTTACATGCTTGACCTGAAATCCTCCTGGGACCTTTCTCGCTGGCTGCCCGAATAACAGACGATAAATTGAAAGGTAGTGCGCAATAGAGCTACTCCGGTAATGGAGAATATCACTCACTCTCAGTGATACAGCTTGAATAAGATACGATGCACAACATTGCAAGGTAAGTGTGTGATAAAGCTCTATACGCCTATAGCTAAAGGAGATAATCAATGCGCAATAGTGTATTCTTACAAAATATAGACAGGTTAACTTAAGCGAAAGGAGATATATTTCCCCTAAACATTTTTAACTCTTTTCAAAACGAAATGAACAAATTGCATGGATTATCTACACTAAAAATATGACTAAGTCACAAAATGTAACAGGCAATTGGTTAAATCATGTCCAGATTAATGCACTCTCTTTTCATTTTATAAACTCTCCTTCAGTCAAAATTAAACTAACACTTGTACGAAGTTTTGAACACTTTACTGAGGCCTTGACTATTGTAACCGTCATCAAACAGCTTCTGAGCAAGAGTTGTATGAAGCTATTGGATATCTTTGCGGAAAGAGCATGCCCGACTGTACCTCCAAAGTTGTGAAATGTAGACACGAAGGGCATCAAGGGAAAGTTGAGTTTTGGAAAGTAAAGTCACTCCTCTTCTCATACAGTCTTGTGTTGATTATTTTTGTCACTCTGAGAATCTTTATGCATAGATCTAAATATGAAACAGACGAGGCGGTCTCACTGGTCTTCTTTATTTCAATTTCAGATGGGTAAATGAGAAGAAGGGAATTGGATATTTGATAATTATTGAACAATATCATATCATCAATATACCTGAAGCTGAAGTTAAACTTCTCAGCCAAATTACCTTGTTTCGACTTTGCAAATCCCAGCAGAAATTCTGATTCATATGCACAAAGAAACAGATCATCAAGGATGGGAACACAATTGGTGCTCATGGGGATGCCTACTTCTTGTTTGAATGTCCTATCAACAAATTGCACATATATGAGGAAGTCCAACATTTCACATATTGTGTTGTTTTCTTTTTAAACTTAGATGAAATTTGCTATCACTTCTTTTATATAAATTGTCTCAAACATTTAAATATAGAGATGTAACAAGAGTGTAATGTGGCAGTGTATGTTTTATGTTTCTTCCCAATGATTGTCCGTGACAGCTAAATGAAGGGCGCACGTAAAATATCAAGTTAGCATCACGGAAAAGAGACCTGTGCTGTGAGTAGCTTGATAAGGCTTCATTAAAGTCACAGACACTGGGTTCGACTAAACGTTTTGAGACGTTTCTTGAAGGTTTGCTGCACCCATACACTTAAAACTCGAGGGCAATTCGAGGCCATCCTCTACGACCTGACGTGCGTCTTACAATGCGATTCTACTTTAGCCTGCTTCCAACACTGTTTCCTGGTTACGAGGGCTGAGCAAGTCTCTGATTCAAGACATTAGACAGTGTCAAATTTTGGACATTCCGTAGTGCACTGACTTATATAACGAGGCTGTACTTATTTCTGCTGTCACATATTTGATCCATTATAATTGTAAACCTGATCAATATAATTTGTTGATTCTTCATTAATGTCGTGTGGTTACCTACTGATTAGTATTTTGTATATGCCGATTTCGGGGGTTAACCTTCGCGTTTCAATTTAGGAATGAACACGGTCAAAGAGCTGGAATAATAGTGCTTCGTTAACATAAAACACACAAACACATAGCAAATCATAGTAGAGACTCTCTGTCCAGGTCCCGTCAATCTGTAAACCCCACCTACCAAAGGCATGGGAACGCTCACGTGTACAGAATGTGACATTAATCCGTTACAGTGATTTGTTAAGGCTACCATCCGGATTAACGGGGGTTCACTGCATATGGATACATTGCATTTTGTTTGTTATTTATAATTTATAACTCATGAGGAGTTTGAAAATACCTTAGTGAACGTTGTATAAAGCCGCAAAAGTACGCTGGCGGTCTGTGACTTAAACTTGTAACTGAAAACATGGTATTTAGCAATGATTCACGCCATTGGGTTTCAAAAACACGAAGTAAAGGAGCATGACCACTCAATGGAATTTGGTTTCTATAGAATGCTTGAGACGTCTTCTAACCTGAGTCAACACGGAGGCGATTTGTGGTGTCCCCTGTTGTGGTAAAACTGGTGAATTGGTAAATGTTGAGGAAAAACAATCACACGCCCTGCTATACTTGCAAAGGGCTCCAATGTTTTCTATCACATTACGTAAACATCCCACGCTTCATCATTGACGGGGTCAAGGGCCACAGCCAACAGCTCGCAACTGACCACTCCAATTGAAGGAGACCTTGAGTTGAAGGCATTGCAAGAAGCCTTTCTGAAACACATGTTGGCACAGTCGAGCTTCCCGATGTTTTCATGGCTGGCGATGATGTAGTCAGGCTCCCGAGCTCCTGTATTGAACAAGACAGATGACTCTGAAACATATGACGATGTAAAGTATAAGAGGTATGAGTGCATTTCAAAAATGTGTATTTATACCATTTTTCACTTCTATCTTCTTGTGATTCATAATATAAAATAAAAGCGACCAAACCCCTTCCGTAAATTCATACGATATCTTTGCCAAGAACAGGCGATTGCACGATTAAAAATATATCATGAGCATGTGTTTTTCGCTATCAAAAGGTGATGACACCAGGTGTTTTGAAATGTTGAGCAAATCCCGCCCCACAGGTGGCGCCTATTAAAAACACACGCCAAGGCAAGTCGATTATTTGTTCACCTGAATAAACACTGGACCATATGGTACAAGACAAAAACGGGAATTGCATCGGACATCATTTTTGTCACTGATGCATCAAATCAAATATCAGATCATCATTATATCTATAGCATAAGTTAAATGTTTGGCCAAATTATCTTGTTTTGACTGTGCTAATCCGAGGAGAAATTCTTATTCATATGCAGAAAGAAACAGATGTGGAAGCTTTAACACCTAAAAACTGCTGCAGGCTAACAAATGGACAGATTCAATTTCCTTGTAATTATCTACTCCCCAAATATCCGATCCATATAATAGAATCGGGGCCACTTTAGCATCAAATATCCTAAAAAATACATTATAATCATAAGGTTTCACATTCTTTAGTGATTTTAACACACAAAACAAAACTTTTTAGCCTGTAATGATGCATTAGATACATGTTTAGTCCAATTTAAATTCTTAGTAAACGTAACACCTAAATATTTATAAGAAGATAGACAGATAGAAGATGTCTGACTGTAACCAAACTACAATTCGAAATACCGCAATAAATTTGTATCATGCCTTTATCTACCGTAAGTCAATAATTATTACTGTGGACCAATATATGTCCCATGGGCCGGCCGTTGGCCTAAACATGTACGAAATAAAGAAAGAATCAAGTCACAAACACGCAACTGCTACAGAAAAGCATGCATTCCATGCAAAAAATGACTTTTATGCAAGCCCCATGCATTTCACTACCCAAGAATGGGTATAAAAACATATATATATATATAACGGGATTCCATATGCATTGTTTAGCAGCATGCTGACAACCACCACTCAGAAAAACAACAAAATTACGCAATTATTCAACATTACGAAATGCCACGCCTGTCCGAAAATGAGCGTCTGCGAGCCATTGGTATGCTTGAAGCAGGATCGAGTCAACGTGATGTTGCAAGACAATTTAACGTCCACAGAAACACCATTTGGTGTATATGGCAACGTTGGCAACAGACGAATGCAGTCAGAGACCATCCTCGGAGTGGACCAATAATCGACAAACAACTGGATTCGAACAACACACCTACGGAATCGATTCCAGCCAGCAACAGTGACTGCAAGAAGCATCCCTGGCCTTCGACGAATATATTCACAAGCCGTACGTCGCCGCCTCAGATGTGCAGGGATTGTCGCCAGAACCGCCAGGCGTCCCATTTTGACAGGAAACCACCGGCAAGCACGTTAACAGTGGTGCAGACAGCGTCTACGCTGGACGGCCATGCAGTTGGGACAAGTTCTATTCACTGACGAGTCTCGTTTTCACCTCAGCCACAGCTATGCACGGATTCGAGTGTACCAACGTCGAGGTGAACGTTACGTCAATCATTGTGTCATGGAAGAAGATCGGTTCGGGGGCGGCAGCGTTATGGTATGGGGTGGGATTACAGCAAGACTGAGGACTCGTTTGATAGTGGTAGAGGGACATCTCAATGGACAGCGCTACCGCGACGAGATCATCGGCCCTATTGTTCTACCGTTTTTGCGTCGTCATGGCCCAGGCATTACCTTTCAACATGACAACGCCCGGCCTCATATTGCTCGACTGGTTCAGGATTCACTTCAACAAAACAACGTGAATGTCGTCCCCTGGCCGGCTCGCTCCCCTGATCTCTCACCAATCGAGCACATTTGGGATGAGATCGACAGACACTCCAGGAACTTCGAAACATGCTCCAGCAGATATGGACAGATGTCCCACAGGACTTTGTGCGACGTCTGGTCCATTCATTGAGACGAAGATGTGTTGCTTGCATCGCAACCAGAGGTTGACATTTTGGCATGTTCATGTTTTTTTCTTATGAAATCACGCTTTTTCTGAAGTCAGTATGGCACTTTAAACCATTTGAATACTTACAGGAGTCTTTTATCTGTTGCAAACCGAAATTGTTTCAGATTTTAGTATTCAATGTTTAATGTTAGAAAACAGCAATGTTTTCGCCAGTGATGTCGCCTGTTTATTGGCCTGATCCTGCTTACCTCCGCATGTGTTGTGCAAAGGAGCTCCCCTCACAACTACTTCACAAAAGGCCAAGGGCTCATTACCAGAGTTGTACTTGACAATTCTGACGTAGCGTCCAATGGTGTTGACGGCACAGGTCAAGTCTACCGTCAGACCGCTGCCCACCGTGCCTTCATGCAAATAGCAGACTTGTATGCCGGTGTTGCTGCTGGTCATCGGTTCAGAAGTATGGACCTCAACTGTGAAGTTGGTTAATCTTTCGTCTGGATGAAAGGTAAAAGGTGATTACAATGTGAAAAGATCAGACACATTATTAACTCCCGTCCAACATATGGCAACTGTAATGTGCCCTTTATTCCTCAGTTGGTTTACAGATTTCTTCTTTCAAAATTTCAACTCGGTGGTCGAAAAAGAAATTAATCAAATGCGTTTTTAAATGAAATTGTTTTTCGTAAACATATTGCCGGTAGGTGTTGAAAAGAAATATAATTTCAATTCAATGTCATGATGGCTATGATCTTGAACAAGTATGTAAATTTGCTGTCATCGCAAGTTCTATATCTTGTGTGTGGACATGTATGAAAACAAACTGACATATTTTATTGCTAAATGGAGATTGAGAATTGTATTTTTTGCGATCGGTTGATTTGTAAACCAATTAATAAAGAACAACGCCTTAGAAATGTTTTACAATGAAAAGCACCACAAACTGGGAAAACTTGTATAGAACACTCGTTGTACTAGGTGCTCGTGTGTTAGGGACCATGTATTTAACGTCTAAAAGACGGATGGTAAAACTATTTCTTTCAGATGACAATATCACATGTGAATTGCATTGATGTGTACAGGATCACATTAGATTGGATTCTAAAAGTAGTTTTTTGCTTGATATTTGATAGTATATCGGTTGAAATAGGCGGAGATACCGATACCAAAATTGTGATTTGTCCACTTTTCTTTCAAAGTAATTGCTACTATATTGTGTATACAAATTGGAATTCTTCAGGGTCACGAACAGAAGCCTTTATCGGAATGATGCTGTTTGATTCGAACTTTAATTAGATCTTAACCATCAAATTTTGAAACCCAATTAACTAAATTATCATCATCATCATCATCATCATATCATCATCAAGTAAGATGTCAGTTGTCAATGTAATATGTTTAAACAAAACTCTTTCCATGTTTGTAAGAAATTTCTGCCCATTATTAAATGTGATTTAGAATTCCTCAATCTGGACCATTTCCCTTGGAACAGTACCGTCCGGATTTATGACGTTTCACTGTATCGAGTTATTGAGGTTCGAGTTAACAGATTTCACTGTATAGGTTTTTTTAGTTCGTATTCCATCCGCACGAAAATTGATAGCACTGTTCAATTTACTTACGGCAACAGTCCCCCCTGTTGGTGACGGAGACGGTAAGAACGGTGAAGATCTTCTGGAGATCTACCTGCCACCAGTCTAACGACGCCCCTGGGTCACTCGCCACGTGGGCACAACTTAGGGCATGAATGTCGGTGTTGTAGTTGCCGTCCACAGCCAGATCCGATGTGAAGGATGACTCTTCTGAGCTCTGTTCTGTGGGCTTGTTCAGGGCAAGGTTCGGCAGATCCAAACCTGGACCGAAAGAACGTGGTTGTTCATTAACATTAACAAACCTAATATTTTACCGGATGTCTGACTTTAACGCCAAGAAGGCGACTGTGAATTGTATTAAAATGTATATTTCGTTAATCTGACACCTAAACAAGTTGTGATAGTATGAAAATAAGCAGTGCCGGCATGAATGCTTGCAAACCGCAGTGTACTTCATATTGTTGAACAGATAGTTTGGCCTTTATGCTGCTATGTCAATAGTATTTATGCATTATTCCTGCTCAAAATATGTTTGATCAAGGTTACAACATTCCAGTGATGCTTTCAAAACGTTACAGGGAAGACGTGGGGGATCTTTCCAAATTTGACGCATCAATGAGAAATATGACAACATGCTCCCGTGTGTTTTCAGGCGGACAACTGACCTGGTGTCATCACGAATACTACTGGTAGTGATTCCTAAACGCAAGCACTTGTTAAAGTCGGAATCGTATAACAGACTCCGCTTTTAGCAGTGATTTATTATGAAAAAAGAAAGACTTCTTATTGCCCACTGTCTATTGCCTATTTCCAATCAATGATAATTTAAGTCCTAGCTCCCAGTTGTCCATCGCAGTCAACTTTCAGCGCTAATTTACTGTTAAGTGTTGGCTTCCATTTGTCCATTGTTAATCAATTGTCTGTTGGCTTCCCTTGTTAAGTTTCCACCTTGTTCTTCCAGATACATATATATGTTCTCTGCCTCATAGCAGTATGCAGTAAGTATATACTCGGAAACGTTGTGTTTCTCATAATAAAGAAGTTGACATCCATAAATTCTCTTCCTTATGTGTATCACTTCTAAATGCCTTTCAAAGACGATAAATAAGTACGGAGACAAGATGACGGTTACAGAAGCATCGTTATCTTGACTTGAATCATATGTTCCCGAATTTTTTTAAGGTGAACAATTATCTTATCGTTGCAAGTGTTTGTGACGGGTGCCCCCGGTGGGGCAAGATACGCTCACCTTTCCGCAAACACCTTGTATTACCACTATTAATTAGGAATACATATGCTTTTGCAATAGTCGGGATCGTACAACAGACACTGTATTTAGCTGCGATTTCGTACGGTTATTGAAGGGTATATTAACCTTTTTTTTTTACTGTTATTTTGAGTGAGTGAGTGAGTGAGTATGGTTTTACGCCGCTTTTAGCAATATTCCAGCAATATCACGGCGGGGGACACCAGAAATGGGCTTCACACATTGTACCCATGACGGGAATCGAACCCGGGTCTTCGGCGTGACGAGCGAACGCTTTAACCACTAGGCTACCCGACCGCCCCTACTGTTATTTTGGGTATACCAGACTAGTGGTGATGTTTTGGTACAAGCCACGGCATTGTACATATCGATGGGTTTGAAAATACCTCCGATGATCTGACATTATTGAGAATTGATTTGTATATTTTAAAGAAGGATAAATATCAGTCTTGTAGAGCATGTATATATGAATCAGTAACCATTAGTGAGGTGAGGTGAAATAGGGTTTAACGTCGCATCCAAGATTATTGCACTTATATAGCGACGTGCATGCACGTGTGTGTGTGTATGTGGCTGCTTGTACTTGTCCGGACTGATGCCGATTTATAGTGCTAGCTCACTGAGATACCATGCCGCAGTTTAACATGAATACCCCACTCAGACACAGTATACTGACTCCGAGCCGACCAGTCCTTGTTTTAGCCCCTTAATGCCGAGCGCCAGACAGGGTAACACCAAGTACCATCTTTTAACGTCTTTTGGTATGACGCGGTCGGGGATCGAACCCCGGACCTTCCGCTCTCCGGGCGGAAGCTCATTAGACCACGGAGGCGGTCCAGTAACCATGAGGGATGATACCAGGTGCTCACATAAACGTGAGCGTATCCTGCCTCACCGGATGAGAAAGCAGTTCTAAAGGGACGGCCAATTTGATGCTTACTTTCTTATATAATAATAACGCTTTGACTTTTGAAAAAACACGAAATTGTCTGCCACAATAATTACATTGTTGCAAGGTGTCTTTCTTTAAGAATTATACAGGCTAATAGTTTTACTGTTTTAAAAAGCTGGTTTTACAGCTGCAGCTGAAAATATGTCTAATCTCCAGACAAGATCTCAGAACCCCTCCACCCCTCGAGTATCAAATGATCGCTTAGGCTTTGAATGCTCTAACCCTGATCAAAAATATTTCATATTTTGGACAAGAGTCGTTTGACGCTCTTTGAGGAAATTGATCGTTTTATCCTTATACGCCTTTTTTCATAGAATAACGAAACATGAACTGAAACATATAGGATGTTAACCACAAGGGATACATAGACAAAATAACGTAAAATTGAAAGAGAACCAAACCTGTCGCTCTGAGCAGAGTTGCTACCAGGACGAACACCAGTGCATTAGCCATCGTCGTTCCAAATGAACTACTTTTCCGTGTTGCAATAATATCATACAAATGTTGATGATATTTGTCAGAGTGTCGCCATGGTGACCCATGGTAATACATTGGTGAATGTCAACATGCATGAAATGGATAACGGTTTAGTATAAGATTATACTCGTAATAGATACCTCTTACAAATTGTAATAAAATACGACGCTTGCACAATCAATATTACCCTTTACTTTTAGAGACCTTTGTGAAATGTATTCCGTGACGCCCAGAAGGTATATTATTCTTTTAGGGAATTTGTGTCTAATGGGTCTAGTGGTGTGTGTACCAATATTTTAGTTTTCATACAGGCTATAGCTATGTATCTTTTGCCGATATTTTCTGAGACAAATGCTTTTTCTGAACTTGGTCGATGTTTCTGCTGGTTGACTGATGTTGCCGAGTTTCATTATATGCTGAGTAGCATTTATCAATAATGTTGAGTCAACTGTTGACATTATGACACTGACCCCCGATGTGTTGTTAAACGAACATACAGTTAACTACGGTTATAACTAACACGCTTATAACGAACTGACGGATATAACGAACTTACTTTTTTGGTCCCGACTATTTGCTATAGTTATGATGTATATATGCTTATAACGAACTACGGTTATAACGAACTAAAATAAGTAGTCCCTTTGAGTTCGTAATAACCGTAGTTTACTGTAATTCTTTCTTTACATATAAGAAAAATCTCTGCATGTGTACACATCAGACGTATTAAACATTACCATATCGTTTTTAGTTGCAACAGAAACAATAAAAATGCTATTTGCATTTTAGGGTTCATCGATCACTTGATTGTCAAACAAACACTTACATTCAGTAGTGGCGGGTGCTACCGGTAGGTAGGACATGCTTAACCTTTTCGCGAAGACCTGGTTATAAGGTTTTAGAGACAAGACTAAAATTGAGATTACTGCTCATTTAGTGACAAATGCCCCCTGGGACAAGGAATATTTTGTTTTCTAAAGTGGTGTAAAAGTTGAAAAAATGAAATTTTTGGACATAAGTGAGATGCAAAAAGTCAAGCAAATCCTTTTGAGTTTTTGAGAATCAACGTTGTATATTAATTCCACTTGTCTCAAATACTTGAACACAATAAAATTAATGTAAATATTAAGAAAGTGTACAGATTGCATTAAGGGTTATGGTTAATCTTTAAGACGGGGATTTGGGGGCACACTGGCTGGATCCAACAATATATATCTCGATGTGCATACTTTTATTGAGCTTTGGAATCCAGTACGAAAGAGGAAGGGACATATCTTTAGGTTTAAGAGTGAAGCCCAACGTTGAGATTACTACGCTTGGACTATTTCACTCTTTGAAATCTTCGTGGGAAGGTACAACCTCGATTGTACCTTAAAAGTTGTGAAATGAAGACACCAAAGGCTGGATCTGCTGGTATATCGAACTACTATTTTATGCAAATTGTGTTCGTGACGAGATCCATTGGTAGAACACGACAGTGATACATTCATATAATGGTTGGTTGGTTTGTTGTTTAACACCGCACTCAGCAATATTCCAGCTATATGACGGCGGTCTGTAAGTAATCAAGTCTGGACCAGACAATCCAGTAATTGACAACATGGGCAGCGATCCACGCAATTGGGATCGATGACATGCATCAACCAAGTCAGCGAGCCTGACCAACCGATCCCGTTAGTCGCCTCTTACGACAAGCACAGTCGCCTTTAACGGCAAGCATGGGCTGCTGAAGACCTATTCTAATCCGGATCTTCACGGGCCTCGTGCATTGTGACATAAATTTATTACTGTAAGGTACTGTCAGGATATCCACCAGTTTCTACGCTCTAAATACCATATGCGTCTGGTTAGAATATGTCAATGTGTTAACGGTGGTACAGCACGTGGTCGCCAAGCATGCAGGCGATTTCTAAGCGCCTGGTCAGTAATCTGAACTCGGGTGTCCTTGCGCAAGTGTATCCTAGTTGTTGACCGTGGGAACCATGTGTGGGGTCGATCATTAACAATTTGTGCAAATCACAGAGTTGTACAAGTTTGAAGCAAGACAATAGCCCTTAGGCCTTTATCATGTTGTAAACTTCGCATCCCAAGTCTGATCATGAAAACTGCATTACAGCAAATGTTTGTTTGTTGTTTAACGCCGCATTAACCAATATTCCAGCTTTCTGAATGCGGTCTGTAAATAATCCAGTCTGGACCAGACAATCCAGTGACTGACATCATGAGCATCGATCCACGCAATTGGGATCAATGACATGCATCAAACAACCCGACCCCGTTAGTCGTGTCTCATGACAAGCATAGTCGCCCTTTACGGCAAGCATGGGTTGCTGAAGGCCTATTCTACCCCGGATCTTCACGGGTCAGAATGATCCTGCTGGCACAACGTGGCCAATGGAACCACTGAATTTGTCCGTCTTTTAGGCGTAGCTGAAGACAAGCAGTGTATGACACGACGGATTTTTCGTTTTTGGGACCTGTCAGTTTTATGATTTCACGGCATTCGACGCCACCATGTTAAAGAAACGTGACAGTTGGACCCGACACAGTTACCTCCTATAATATACATCCCCTGATATGTTTCAGTGTCATGTGTCGTGTTCACTCATCACAGTACAGGAGCCAGGGAGCCTGACTAGATCATCGCCAGCTATGAAAGCACCCGGAAGCGCGACTGTGCCCACATGTGTCTCAGGAAAGCTTATTGCAGCGCCTTCAACTCGAGGTCCCCGTATGTGGGGGTGGTCAGATGCGAGCTGCTAGCCGTGGCCCCTGGTCCCGTCGCCAATACAACATGGGATGTACATACGATCAATAGTGTTTAGTGTACAGCAGAGTGAGTGAGTGAGTTGGGGTTTGCGTCGCTGTTGCCAATTTACCAGTTTTATCAAAACAGTAGACACCACATATCGCCCACACTGTATCCACGTATAGACTCGAACGCAGGCTTTCTGCGTGATGAATGAGCACTTTGATCATAAGGCTACCCCCACCACCTTGTGTATAGTAGAACGACTACTTATCTTCTATCGGAGTAACAATTTAATGCTTTAAGCCGAATTATCTTTAAAATTGTCCACTTGTTCATCTGAAAGTAAGGTCCCAATGGACCCCCGTGTTGGAATATGTCAAAGTGCTCAGATGTAACTGGATAATGAAAATCAACAATACCAATGGATTAGAGCTGAGATCCCATACGTCCAGAAGTAATTAGAAGTAACAATAATGTAGATCAAGATAACGATTATTGCCCATAATACAGGTTGGCTAAGTTACTAGAATGGGTGAGTTAAGATTTATGGTATTTAAGGTACTAGAATTGTCATAAAGTAGCAAAACACGCTTGAATATAAACAGGAATTACATTCCGAACTTCATGGTGAACGATACCCCTAGAACGTAATAGTCCAGCCAGTGAGAGGTCCAGTTTGAGAACTGAAAGAGACTCCACCATTGCCTTACGTTGATTTCCGTATTTTTAGCAATCCAGTAAATACCGAGCCATATTGTCAAGCTGATAACACACTGTACAATGTGCATAATATTATTAATAATATTCAGATGTGCACAAAGGTAAGAGAACCTCTACTCTCCGATTGTTTCGCAATATTTCTAAGTTAATAATAAAAGGCTCGAAATCTTTTATCCAACCAAGCAAACTCCAATCTTATACTGTTTTATTACCAAACCTTCCCTCCACAACATGTCATAGGCTTTTTCAACAGCCATTAAATATTCATGATCAGTGCTACCTGGTGCCATTTTAATTTCAGTTTCAAGTCGCACTAAATGATCAGCACAAGATCTATTTTTTCATAAGCCTGATTGAACATCTGAAAAGATATTGTTCTTTTTCATGAAGAAAACCAGACGGTTATTCACCATTCTCTCTATTTTTTACACATGTTAGAGGTAAGAGAAATAGGTCTGTTGGGTCTGGCTTTAGTGGGATCTTTATCAGGCTTTGGAATTGGAACTACCATTGGTTCTTTTTGAAGAAATGGGAAGTTTGCCTTCAAACCAAATATTATTAAAAAGTAAAAGCATGGTTTCAAGGCTGATGAGTGAGAGTGAGTGAGTGAGTGAGTGAGTGAGTGAGTTGGGTTTAACGCCGCTTTTAACAGTATTCCAGTTATATCACGGCGTGTCAGGTTAATGTGGGAGGAAAGCCCGAAGTGATGCAGGTCTCAGACGTTTACCACTTCGGTGAAACCCACGAGCACGGGTATGGTGCTGACAAACCTAGAAACATAATCGGGGCGAACCGGGATTCGAACGCACAATCATAGGTTTCTGGCGTGCCCAAGGGACGCAACTCTGCACAGCGAATTGCGGCGCCTTAGACGACTGGGCCACCCGTGCCCCTCTGATGAGTGAGAGATGTTTAAACATGTCATAACTCAATGAATTATCACCTGGAGAGGTATTTCTTTCGTCCAGAAATGGCATTCTATAATTCCCGGAAACTTATTAAAGAGATGTCCGAGAATTCTGATTCAAGTATTTCTTAACAGAGTAGAAGGTGAGGTGAGGTGAAATTGGGTTTAACGTCGCGTCAAAGATTATTGCACTTATATAGCGACGTGCATGTACGAGTATGTGTTTGTGTGGCTGCTTTTACTAGTCCGGACTGATGCCGATTTATAGTGCTAGCTCACTGAGATACCATGCCGCAGTTTAACATGAATACCCCACTCAGACACAGTATACTGACTCCGAGCCGACCAGTCCTTGTTTTAGCCCCTTAATGCCGAGCGCCAGACAGGGTAACAACAAGTACCATCTTTTAACGTCTTTTGGTATGACGCGGCCGGGGATCGAACCCCGGACCTTCCGCTCTCCGGGCGGACGCTCTACCACAGGACCACGGAGGCGGTCTACAGAGTAGAAGGGTTTATCTACAGGTTTCTGTACTTGATACTTTTATAAATGACTGTGACAGTGCATAACTCTTTGTCAATATTTGTTGTTGCAGA